AAACATTGTCTTTCTACTTGCGCCCTTGATATCGGCTCATTTTTTTTACCTCCCTCCCCCACTGAAAAAATTTCATACACTCTACCAAGCTAGCGCAGAGAAGACCAAGTTGCAAGAGGGAATTAAACAAGTTAAATAATAACTCTATAAGTCTTTAAGCATTACTTTAATAAATCACCACTACTAAATGAAGGGTGGTAGTGTCTTAAAAGACAAACAAATGTTTGTAGATTATAACTTCAATGTGGTTAAATGAAGTAGTCTTGCTATACAAAAAAGAAAGTGTTCTCTGGGACTATGTTAATAAAAGCAGTTTCCAGAGACGGCCTCTATGATGATTTAATCATGCCCAAAATACCAGCTAACAAATTTTAATGTTTAAGGGACCATTAAACAAAAAAGGAGGTGGTAGTGATAGCCAATCAAGTGTCTGGTAACCAAAGATTGGTGGGCCAAACCCACCCAGCAGCTTTGTAGAAAAAAGACCCATTTGCTTCCATAAAGGTTAAAGCCAAAAAGCCCTATATATAAAGCAGTTCTACTTTTTCACATGGGGTCACTAATTGACAAAACAGCAACTAATACAAGTGATAAAGGCCCTAGCACAAGAGGTAGCATGGGATATTCTAACTCACCTAATATTCAACTATAAAACCTTCTGAAACTATACTGATTAGTGAGTTTCCTATTATTCAAAGAATCCAGCCGATACTAGACGTATCAGTTCTCACAAACACCAAAAGGTTGATTCTGTATTATAAGGAAAAGGAATAAATTAGTTTTCTCAAACTTATTACTCTAATTATTCCACCCACATGACTAATAGTTTTTATAAATACATGGATTCTCATAAATTGAGAAAACCTGCCGTTCTCCTTTTTTTATCTCTTGGCCACTTTGCTCTCCTTATTCCCTCTTTCAGCAGCCTTAATGAACCTCATTAAAGATTTGAAGATGGCATTTTAATTATATGGATCAGTTCTACTCTGTCCTTATAGGGTGGGTGTCTCTAGGAGTTGGAAGTGCCTTGACACCAGTGGGCTTGGTGTCTGGGACAATGGCCTCTTTACTCAATGGAAAGAATTATTTACTAACTACATATTATGGCTAGACATTTGGATATGCTTTTCCACCATGTTGCTTTAAGGAATAAGCATCATATTAGTTTCAGTTCATGAAGTATATTAAAAGTGAATCACTCATTGAAGGGGGAGAGAGCTAACCTACAAATCATATAAATAAAAGTAATATCATTTTTAAAAGAGCCTAGAACAGAGTAAGATAAAAAAACTTTAGTAATCACGCAGTTTTATTTAGCTAATAAATACATGGCAAAGTATAGGTTTTTTCCTAAATAAAATATATTTTAAATTGCTTGTCTTCAATTCTGCATTTGTTATGGGAAGTTTATCTTACTATTCCATGCAGGTATGGATTTTAATAATCACTTTACTATTTGGGAGGGAGCCCAGGTGGGATAGTGGGTTGCATGGTGGGATGTTAACCTCAGGGTCAGCAGTTTGAAACCACCAGTGTCTCTAAGGGAGAAAGATGAAGCTTTCTACTCCCGTAAAGAGTTACAGTCTGAGAAAGCCATGGGGGAAATCCTATATACTCTGTCCTACAGGGTGCTATATATCGGAATCAACTTGGGGGCAGAAGATAGTTTGGTTGGAGCTTTCTTTGACTATTTGGGAAGGGGTCCTGAAGGGACTGTCAGGCAAGTGTTGGACTGCCACTTGCAAGGTTCAAGTCCAAACCCAACAGCCATTAATAGGAAAGAAATGAGGCCACCTACTCCAAAGAAATTTTAGTCTCAAAACCCTACATACAGATGCTCGAGTCCAACTACCTAGATGCCAGTGGATTTTTAAGACAGATTAACTATTTGTTAGCAAATGTGGAGCTCAAAGAAATCTTTACTAAATGATCTCTAGAGCTCTGACATACTGATTTAGCCTTGCAAATTTGCATACCTTTCCAAGTATATTATTATAATATCACACATCACAGTTGAATATCATTGGCAAATATGAGTACATGGCCTTCCACAGGAGCCTACATCTGAAAGTACACATCTGAAAGTCATCTTCCCCAAAATTCTAATAGCAGAAGGGAAGAAAAAAAAAAAAAACTTTCACTACATGATGGAGCATTGAGATTAAACTTTCCATTAATTTTTAAAACACCTCCTGTATTCATGTTTCATAAACAATGTCTTGGATATGTTTGTCCATAAAAAATTATCATCTAATAGACACCAAATTATGAGACCCTGGGTAGGATAAGCGTACTTATTAAAAGGAGGACTCAGCGCACTTAATGATGACGATGAAAGACTACAGCATTCTGGGTGGAATTCACTTTAACATAAAGAACTTGGACATTTTCACAACTGAGCCAATAAGTTACATCACGGTCATCAAACATTTCATATGACTTGAATCTGTAATCAATGTCCATTGAACAGCAGTCGAAAAATCAAATGGCATGTTGCACTGGGCAAATCTACCGCAAAATATTTCTTTTAAATGCTTTAAAAAAACAAAACTGAAGATTAAGTTATTCCTGACCCAAGTCATAATTTAAATCATCTCATATGCTTAACAGTGAAAATAATTGATGCTGTTTGACTGTAATCCTAGCAAAGGATGCTGAAGATGCTATGGACTGTCAGAAGAACAAGCAAAACTTTCTTGTACAAAAAGTATAGTTGAAATGTTGTACAGAACTAAAGATGGCAAGACTTTGCTTCATGTATATTGGACAACTTATCAGGAAAGACCAGTCCCTAGAGAAGAACATGCTTGGTAAAAATTAAGTGGCAAACAGAAACCAAAGGTCCTCAATGAGGTGGTATTGTGATTGTGGCTATAACAGTGACCTGTATTGACCCTATAGGACAGGTAGAACCGCCATGTTGGTTCCTACGCTCTTAAGTCTTTCAGTGAGTAGAAAGCCTCAGCCTCGGTGGTTTTGAACTGCTGACCTTGCAAAGTTGGCAGCCCAATACTAACCACTATGCAATTAGCAATTAAATCAAGAGGTATAATGCTTCTAACTACAGTAGATTTCTACCTTGCTGTTTCATGCCAGGAGGTAGAAATATCTATACTAATTAGAAGAATCAATGTAAGACTGTGATAACAGGCAAATCCAATGCTTCTAAGTCTACTTTCCACATTTAGGCTGGCTGATAACAAGGGCTCAAGTAGAAAGAAAATGTTTTGAAAGATGGTGGCAACATATGTACAAATGTGCTCGACACAATGAAAGTATGTATTGATTGTGATTAGCGAGGTAAGAACCCCCAATAAAATGATTTTTTAAAATGTTTTCTCAGTTCTTGTATAAAAGAAAAGTACAGAGTGAGGTAAAACATTCATCAAGGGAGGAAAAGTAAAGAATGTTCTATTCATAATTACTTAAGATTTTCCAGCAAGAGAGGGGAAAGAGGAAGTCTATTTTTGGTGACAATGATTACTCTAAAAATATTAACATGCAAGGGGAAAATTTTCATTCTGAGAGTCACTAGTAGGCAAAGCTCTTTCCCTCACAGAGACATCCTATTCTCAGTGTAGAGGTAATCTAGGCAGAGGTACTTGCCCTCAGACTTGGCAACGTCCAGGAATCATGGGAGTTTATCTGCGGACAGCCTGGAAAGAATTTCCCAGCACTGCGCTGGTCTCTAAGAAGTATCAAGTGGCATAGTGGGTGCTTATATGCTCAGGCTTCTGGAGTGGGGGCAGGGATCACTGCCACACAGACTGGAAGATTTGTTATGCTGAATGTACAAACAAGCTAGGGTCGGGCGGGGGTTGGGGGGACGAGGAGCTGAAGAGTTGTAAGAAAAGGATATAACTAATTCTTCCTTGCCTCTGTCAAACCCACATTACATTTTCTTTCCCATAACATCTCTATAGTCCTAACTGGCTTATTGTATAAACATAGGTGAAATAGCAGATTTGTTCTATTTTTCATTATAAATATATTGGAAGGGGAGGTGGGGCAAAACAAAACACAGTTCTCTACTTAGTAAACACCCATGATTTATAATGGTTTGATATATAACCCTTCAGTTTTTAACACTCAACTAGCAGGTCAATGGTATTTAGAGCAAGTCATTGAAGTCAATGGTATTTAGAGCAAGTCAAATGAAGTCATTTGAAGGAGGTCAGGAGAAAACAATAAATATACTTTAGCTTGAAAACTTCATCAAGACCAACTGTCCGAAAATGGAGGAAATGAATTCCGTATATCCCTGCCTGCGAGTGTCTTTATATTTCCAGAAACGTAAGTAAAGGATAACAGCAGCTCTCCTGAGATTTGCAGGGGTCCTCAAACTACGGCCCGTGGGCCCTGCTGCTGCCTGTCCTGCTTAGCAGGCAACTCGTCCACTGTGCATAGGAATTTGTTCATAGTTGTGTGTTTTTTAAACTATAGTCCGGCCATCCAATGGTCTGAGGGACAGTGAACTGGCCCACTGTTTAAAAAGTTTGAGGACCCCTGGTTAGGCCTTAGCTAGTTCCATGGGGCCAAGTTGTGATGAGACCTATCTGGCTAACAGTGGTAAGCACTCATCTTCTTCAATGTGTAAAGAGCCAAAATTCCACATTTTTGGCCTTTAAAAAGATTGCGACAGTAACGGTCATAGATGAGATAAAAAGGAGGTGGGGAAAATGTGGCAAGTGACTACATAGATTACATGTCTCTCTCTGCATTTATAGCTGTATTTGAGTAGTTCCTACCTCTTAAAAAAAATCCCTTTCCCCAGAAAAAGACACATGCATACAAGTGAGCACATGGTTGTGGGGGATTTACAGTTCTTAAAAGTCAAGTCCTTGGGGGAACCAAAAAAAAAAAGCCAAGTGTCTGAAGCATCGATAAAGGTATCTGAGAGAGTACTGAGTAACTTGAGTGGAAGGCTGGCAATGAGGTTAACCATTATGGAGAGTAAACTTAAATGCATCACAAATGAGTCAAACATCCCTCTGGCTTACCAGCAGCTCTTTCCCTCACTGCTCCTCCTGGATCATGACCTGCTGGCTATTGCTGAGCCCATCTCCTGCTTCCAAGTGCGGCGCGTACAGGCACAAAGGGCAAGGGTCTGCTGCTGAATGCGTGAGCCTAGAAGAGACACAGGGTTCAAGTAGGATTAAGTTAACCAAATGAACAAGGCTTAGACATCTGGTATAAAACTATTATATGGAATGCTATTAAGCTATTAAACTTTTTCCAGTTAGAGTTTTTTTCAAAGTGTTAACACTGCCAAATGTACCATTGTCTAATATTTGTAGAGCATTTTGCAATGTACAAAGCATCTGCCTTATGGTTTGGTTGTCAAGTGGCCTAGGGAAATAATGCCTGACATTACTGAAACTGCATAACAGAATGCTTACCTATCTCTGTTGACACATTATAAGGGCTTATAGCTTGGACATGACATCTGTTGAGAAGATAAAGCCTTTACTCACTGCCATTGACTCAGTACTGACTCATAGCAACCCTATAGGACAGGGTAGAACTGCCCCTGTGAGTTTCCAAGAATGTACCTCTTTAAGAAAGCCTTAAAAAAAAAAAAAAAAAAAGCTTATATGCCAGCTACTTGACTTATTCCCCCAAGTGGGTATAAGGTCAGCTGAAATTGAGAATCATTCTTCTAAAGTCCTTGTGCTGGTTGACATTTACCATTAACAACTCATAAATAAGTCACTACGGAATTGATTCTGACTCATGGTGACCCATGGGTGCTCCCTCATATTTTCAATGGCTGGTGCTTGTAGAGATTTCCAGACCTTTCGTCTGAAGTGGCTTCGGTGGACTTGAACCTCCAATCTTTCAGTTAGCAGCTGAGTGGGTGACCTATTTTCACCACCCAGAGTCTTCAATTCATTAACAACAAATATTTATTCTATTTTTGCATTGTCAAGGCAGTACTGAAGTGCTATGGAAAGGTAAAGCATTAGAACTCATACTCCCTATATACTCACAGACTTTACTTTAGCCTGAGAGATATAAATATTAATCTCCAATCAGGACTCTAGCTATAATTCCCTTGGGTAGGTATCAGATTTAATCTCTGGTTTAGTACATTTGGACTGGTGATGCCCTTGGCTTGCAGAGTAATGTGAGGAAGCTTTAGTGGGACTGCCCACTACTGGCTGCTCCTGTGGGCTGGCATGAGGCCAGCAGTCCTAGGGGAGTGAGTGTCACTACAAGCAGTTATCTGGTTGGCCAGGAACCAAACTGGCAAACTATCAAGGAAACACGTGAAGTGCCAGTATTCCAGGCATAAGCCAGCCCTTTGGTATAAAAAGGCTACCCTCAACAAAGAGTATACCTGGAAGAGACCAGTCTCTTGTTATTACAGTGCCTCGGTCAAAAAACATGGTTTTATTCAGCCTTGGAAAGTCTCCAATATGACAGTGGCCAAAGACGAGGACAGTGGTGGCAAACATGCATGGGTGGTTTGGAAACAGATGCTATGTAAGATGCACAAAAAATTATTTTTCAAAGATACCACTCTCCTTTGGACATGCCATATTAAGTTTTTGCTTTTGAACTCACTCACAAGGCAAAATACATGACATACATGAAGAGAAACTATTGAAGTCAGAGACATAGTGAGGGGAAAAAAAGAACGAAGTCTATGAATATATTTTAAATGCTCTCACGCCTACTTAAGTCTACATTTTCACTTGAATGAATAAACTTCATAGTCAATGTAGTATTCTCTCTGAGGATAATGTGGCTCTTAAATTTGGTTTAGTTTCCCTAAATAGAAGTCTG